CCATGCCGAATGAATCAGGCCACCCTGTTTGTGGGCAAGAGGCTCTCAGTTTTCTTCTGCAGGTCTGGACGCCGCTCTGGATTGCAGCGGGCCGAGGGGCCCATCACCCGTCGTCTTGGACGATCCCACCCGAGGAGCCCGAGTTGCCGCCCATCTCGGTTGACCAGCTTCGAAGGGTATGTAAGAGGTATGCCAGGAGGTGTGGTTTGGGGTGGGATGGTTTCCATCCGCGTTGGGTTCTTGATCTAAGCGATGAATATGTTGCTCGGTTGGTCGACGTGTTGCATCAGTTCGAAAGGGCCCCGCAAGACCTCCTGTTGTTCATGACGAATATAGTGTTCATCGATAAGAGTGATGGGGGGGTTCGCCCCATTGGACTTTTGGCGTTTTTCGCGAAGATATGGTCCAGGGTCCGTCAACCGCTGTGCACATGGAAGATGTGTTCTGGGGTGTTAGCAGTACCACCACATGTGAACGGGCGGGGTGGATACATAACCTTCTGGGCAGTTACTGTAAGAGTGTTGGGTTCGAGTCTGGAACCGCTTTATTAGATCTGTCAAAGTTCTACGAACACATTGGCCACGAGGATCTGTACCAAGCTGCTCTCAGATTCGAGTTTCCCATTCGGCTGTTACGCTGCCTGTGCACGGTGTACACATGCCCTCGCACGCTGCTCTACGGCGGCGCGGTGTCCAGCATCGTGCGCGCGAACGGCTCAGTTATAGCCGGCTGCAGTGGGGCGACGAGCTTGGCTAAGTTGCTCCTGCTTGGGCCCCTGTTGAAGGCCAGAGAGGGGAGACCGCAGCTATACATCAGAAACGTGGTGGATGACATAGCACTGCAGGCGTGTGGAAGGACTATTCAGGTCGCGTCGGTTCTCAGCTCGGGGGTCGAGTCGCTGCTCAAGGACTTCGATCGTCTTAACCTTCCTGTCGCGGTGAAAAAGACCACGTATATCTGTAGTGCCGATGTGCAGAAGCTTCTCCAGGGGCAATGGCGTATCCCGCCTTCGTCGCGTGTGGACACAGCTCGAAATCTGGGAACGGATGCTGCGTCAGGTTCCTGTCGAAGAGTTGGGATAGCCAGAAGTAGGTTTGCGCATGCTAGATCTCGAGCTCGTAGGCATCAGATTTTACGCGATGCAGGGGCTGAGGTCGGCCTCATCCAAAGAGTCGGGGCCACCGCCGTGGCCCTGTGGGGGAGCAGTGTGATGGGTATCCCCCCGTCTGCGATGCACGGTCTTCGAGTTTCGGCTGCTCGGAGTATCGGTCGCCTCCCCAAGGGCTGTAGTTTAGGCATCAGGCTCCATTCGTTCAGGATGGGTTTGCTGTGTGATCCCTTGGTGGCCTACACGGGGCACGTGGTGTTTCAATGGGCCACGGCTGTTTGGGATAGTTTTCCTTCGAGGCTGATCCTGGGGGCGACGATGGAGGCGGCTATCGAAAAACTGGCGCGCTACCGTCACCCTTGGAGGGTTGCCTCGTCGCCAGCGGATGTTGCTTTCCTTTCCCTGGACAGGATCGGCTGGAGGTTTTTAACCAACACCAGGCTCCGTGATGACTTAGGTTTGGTTTGGAACCTCAGCCAGCTCTCGCCCTGTGAGGTCAGGGAACTGGTGCACGAAGGAGCTTCCAGAGCCTCCGACAGGCTTGCGTTGGAAAGCGTGGGGCGCCTTGGGGGCGAGGGCCCTCGAGGGCTCGATGGTGGTTTTCCGATTTTTTGGGCCGGCCTGGGGACGCTCCTCAGGGGTAAAACCAAAATCTGGACGGCCCATCACCAGCGTGCGCTTCGCTCGCTTGTGTGCAATGTGCATTGGCCGCAGGCCAGAGTGTTTGGTCACGGGCTGCACAGTTCTGACGTCTGTCAACTTTGTAAGGAGGCTCGGGGGACGCTGTGGCACAGGCAGTACGAATGTGTTGCGCACAGCAGCGTCAGAAGGGACGCCGTCTCCCCCTGGCTTGCTGCTCGCGCCCGCCGTGTCTTGGATTGTGGGGAGGACGTTGGGGAGCGGTTTGCGAAATGTGTGATGCCCAGCCCCTTGGCTTTCATTCCTCGAGAGGAGCCTGAGACCACGATCAGGTGGGTTAATAAGCCTGCCAGTGGTTTCCTCACGGGGTGCATCTTTAGTGACGGCTCGGCCTTGTGGCCCTCTCTTCCAGGAGTTTGCAGAGCTGGCTGGGCTCTCGTGCAGGTGGATCCTCTGGGAAACTTGCTGCATGCTGCTTACGGCCCCGTGCCGCTCAGTTTCGGCCCTCGCCAAACGGCCAAAGACGGCGAGGATTTCGCGATTCACATGCTCACACAAGTGGGCATCGCTCCGTTTGATCTGTATCTGGATTGCAAGGCCACTCTAGATGTTTTGCTCGGAGGTCCAGGGTCAGGGGCTGAAGCGAGGTCCCCGAGGGGCCACATGTGGAGCCCGTTCTGGGCCGCCTTCGAGGGGTGTGACATCCAGGCCCACAAGACTCTGGCCCACGCCACCAGTAAGGACATCGAAGCTGGTCGCACTACGGTCTGGGAGAAAAAAGCCAATTCGAGTGCTGATCAGTATGCCAAGCTAGGAGCAAGAATGCATGGAGTTGAGGACTCCCATGCTGAACTTCTTCGTGGTTTCAAGGCCCTTGTGGCCGAGCAGGGGAGGTGGGCGGGCAGGCTGGAGGTTTTGATGGCCACCAGCGGCCAGAGCAGGCAGGACACGGTCGGGCTGCAGCTGCACGACCAGGAGCTGCCAGCGGAGCCCCCGCCCGACCCCGCCGAGGAGGAGGAGGAGGTCGTCTCGTCGTCGAGTGTCGTTGGAGCGGAGGAAGGAGTTGATCCGAGCTGGGCCGACGAGGCCCGATATGCGTTCTACTTCAGACGGCGCGCGCTCGTCCGATGCTCGATGGAGACGCCTTCGACAGTAGGCGACAAAGTGGTTTTCTGTTTTCGGTGTGGGGGCTATACCTCGGGGCGTCTGGGCCATACCCTCCTGGAGCGTTGTCTCGGGAAGCCTGCTGGCCCAGGGATCAGGTCCCAGCCGAATCGCATCCGATCGGGAGAGCACCCACACTGCCGTGCCACCACGAAGTCCCTCGTGCTCGGTCCTTCTGGCCCGTTGAGCTCGCAGGAACAGGTCGAGATCGAGGGATTAGTGGATTCGTGTGAAGCAGCGGCGGCGAGCTCGGGCTCGGCTGCGGCTGAAGGCTTCTGTCCAGGACTGCCCTCGCAAGCATCTGTCCTTGCGGCCTTTGGGATTCTGGAGTCTGAGCTGCCGAGGGTGAAGGAACTCGGGCAGCGTCGGGCCGTGGACGGTTCAGACAACGATTCTGAAGCCTCTGACGGCGAGCTCTTCTGACTTTGAACCCGCCTTCATGGCCGTCCACCACCACCACCTCCTCCTTCTCGTCCTCCTCCTCCACGTCCCTGCCGCCTGCGCCGCCTCCGCAGTCTCGAAGCTGGCACGCGCGTTTCGCACCAGCCGGTCGGGCGTCGGGTCGGAAAAGGAGAAGCTGAGGAAGCCGGGGCACTTCTGAAGAGCATCGTGCAAGTCCCACATGCTCACGTAGGGGGACGTCTCGCGGGGCGGGCGGATGAGGAGGAGGGAGAAGCATGGGAGCGAGAGGAAGATGGGGAGGGATGAGGAGGGAAGATGATGATACTGTTGATGATGGTGCTGCTGCTGATGATGATGATTCTGAGAATGATGGTGATGATTGATGGTGATGATCTTGATGATGATGCTAATGATGATGACGATGACGCTGATGATGATATGATGGTACTGCTGCTGATGATGCTGCTAAATATGCAATGGTGATGGTGATGCTGATGGTGATGACGGCGACGTTGATGTTGATGTTAATGCTTAGGTTGATGATGATGATGCTGCTGATGATGATGATGTTACTGATCATGATGATTATGATGCTGATGATGATGCTGCTGATGATGATCGTACGCAGCTTCGAGCAACGTGGTCTTTGTCTCAGGCCACTAACGAGCGACTCGCCGCAGCCAGCATGTTGCTGCTGCTGCTGCTGATGATGATGATGATGATGAGGAGGAGGAGGAGGATGAGGATGATGACGATGGTAATGATGAGGATGAGGATGACAAATCTTATGCTAATGATGATGCTGCTGATGATGATGATGAGGAGGAGGAGGAGGAGCGGCCGTGCCCAATGAGATGCAGGGCGCTGCTTGAAGGCGCCGCGCAAGTCAAACGTAACGTGCTCACGCGCGGTGGCTGTGGAGGCCGGAGGTGCGGCAGCGGAAGCGTCGGCCGAAGAACGCCGGGCAAGCCGTGGGGCGAAGAGCGCCGGGCAGACGCTCGCTTGGCCGGCCCTCGAGGCCCCCAGGAGAGCCCGAGAGGAGGCCTCGGGTCCACGGTGCCCAGGCAAGGGGGGGGGCGGGAGGGGCCAAAGGCCGGCGACCCCTGCCCTGGATAAGAAAGGATCCCCCCCCCCCCTTTTTCACCCGTTTCGGGCGTCGCTTAGTGGGGGGGCGATAAGCGGGGAGGAGGAGGAGGAGGAGGTGGAGGAGGAGGAGGGAGGAGGAGGAGGAGAGGAGGAAGGAAAGAGAGGAAGAGGCGGGAGGAGGAGGAGGAGAGGAGGGAGGAGAGGAGGAGGAGGAGAAGGAGGAGGAGGGGGAGGGGATGAGGGAGAGGAGAGGTGCATCTCTCGGGCCCCGGAGGCCGACCCCCTTCTGGGGACCTCGAGGGCCCAGTCGGGGGCCCTAAACGGCCCCTTGTCTGCAGCCCTCGCTGCCCCCCCCCCCGCCATTGGTCGCGCCCCCCGTACGCGACGCCCAACCCTTCCTGTGTTGATCATCTCCGGGCGAGATATTCTTGTTCGGCGGAGGGGGGGGGGCGGGGGGAGGGTCCGAACTTGATATGATCTACCCGGGCAAGTTCGAATTGTAGCTGTAACCTTCTTATCACGAGTAACAGCATTCTCCCTATCATCTCTCGCCGTAGCGCCGCGCACACTCGTGTTATAACTACATTCTCAACAAGTACAGTTACGAGGCCGAGAAAGCCGAGAAGGAGTTCTCTCCTCCCCCCTCCATCCTTCGCATCCCTCGCTCTCTTCTCCCTCCTCCCTCTTTCGTCCCTTCACTCCCCTCTCCTTCTTCTCCCCTCCTTCCTCTCCATCCTGCCGCCCTCCGACCTGTGTTATTCCCCGATTGCAGAATCCCTGGAAAATGACAACCATGACTTCCTCTACACGCGGAGTCGAAAACGACCAAGAATTTCAAGGTGTGGCGAAAGGAATGTGATAGGTGATAGGTCCGAAATTTGTCTTGTTGTTTGTCCAGGATCCTTACTCCTTCCTCCTCTCCCTCCCTCCTCCTCCCTCCCCTCTCTCCGCTCCCTGCCCTCCCACCAGAGGGAGCAGGAGATCGTTACACCATACGATGTCACAGGAATCGTGCTCCTCGCACACCTCTAGGGGGAAACCCCGCCAGAGCGCCAGGGAGGCTCTGCCATAGCAAGCCACATAGCATATCTATACTTCCGAGCTGCCAAGAAGATAGCCTATTATCCCTCTGCGTTCCCGAACT